CCCAGCCTGTATTGGTGACTGAGATTGCCTTGAAGTTACTAACTTCACATTTTCTTAAATGATTACCAAAGGAGCTTTTATAGTTACATAATACATAACATTGTGCTGCGTGTATAGTGCTGAGACAAAAATTCAGGTACATGGTTGTATTTTTTCTCAATATATTTTCTGCTTAACTTGCCCACACTGCAGAATTTGGTAACCCAAGTGGTCATACTGCAGAAGTTTTTGTTGTAAATCACTGTTAAAAATGAGGAATGGGCATGGTTGAGTATGCGCATCACTCAATTTTCTGAAAAGTTAGGTGGAAAACCTCAACTGTAAAAAATGTCACCTCTTTAATTAGTAGTTGGCACCTTTTTAGGTTATGTTTTTACGTTGCTTCCTTTTTTGTTGACTGCATCCTCAGGGCTTGTTGGATTTCTACACTGCACACAGCGCAAGTGTTTCAAGCGTGGTCCATTTTCACTTGTAAATGCTTTCTGTCTTATTAGCCGCAGCTTGGCAGAGGCTTGTTCAGAAGGAGATGTAAATGCTGTGCGGAAGTTGCTAATTGAAGGCCGAAGTGTGAACGAGCACACAGAAGAAGGGGAAAGCCTCCTTTGTTTAGCCTGCTCAGCGGGATATTATGAGCTTGCGCAGGTTGGTTTCCTGGCTGGTTTTAGTGCGTATTGTACAAAAATCAGTGTTGAATTAATGTATTCCAGTCTTCCACACCTGGAAGGCAACATTGGGGTAGCAGAAACTGTCAGTGATCTGGCAAATGGAGACTTACTCATAAATTAAATGTCGCTAATGGATTTTTGGGGCTTCCCATCTCTGTTCCTAACACCAAACTGTGTGTTGGTGAAGGTGGGGGCTTTGTGTAGCATTCCAGTTGTCTCAGCACACTGGTTTGTCACTTGCCAGTGTTGCTGATGGCCCTTCTGTTTGCAGGTTCTTCTGGCAATGCATGCTAATGTCGAGGACCGTGGCATTAAAGGAGACATTACACCTTTAATGGCTGCTGCTAATGGCGGACACGTCAAAATTGTCAAGCTGCTGCTAGCTCATGGTGCTGATGTGAACGCACAGTCGTCAACAGGTAAAGGCGTGTGCTAGAGCTTGTGGAAAACACAAAGCTGAAACTTGCAGCAGCATGTGGGGAACTTCCTGTGGAAATCTGGGAGGAATGGCTCCTGGCCAAACAACGCAAAATGCTTCCTTGAGATTTTACTATTTAGCTGCTCTTTATTTTTTTTTTTTTTTAATGAAACTATAAAATATTTGTTGGTTGTGGACATACAAAGGTGAATAAGGTCACTTGGTAATTGAAAGGTATTTGCATATGTAGAATTTGTTGTCACACAGGATTTTAAGCACAGTTTGAGACTTTTTGCGTATATGGAAAATTGTTTGGTCTTAGGAAACCAAGGGAAAATAAACATAAGAAGATACATACATCAGCCTTTTTTTTCCCCCTCTCTCCCCTGGCAATTTGGTAGGTGTTTATGTTGAAGTGACCAAATTGGGAGGTTTTCTTAGTTCGTGTGGCCTTGAAGCGAAGAGGTTGTATGCAGTCAACAGCTGTTGACAGATGGAGTAGTGACCCTGAATGCTGAGGCAACCTGGCATACCACAGGACTTTTTTTTTAAATTTCAGTGAAGTAGTTCTGAGTATTAATACTGCTTTGACCTCAGAACTTTTTGCAAGGTATTTTTCAGAAAGGCCAATGCTTGGACTGTTCTGTTCAAGATGAATGTTTTTCTAGTTTTTCTATGGAGGTTGCATTCATCTTGTAAAGACCAATGCCATTACTGAACTAGCCTGTTAGAGGTGTTAAAGGCTTGATTTAGAAGCAGTGTCTCATTCCGCCCTTTGTTTTGAGCTCGTTCCTACAGCATACTATGTCCCTGCTGATTAACGGGAAGAGGAGTGGGGTTCTGTGATGGACAGTGGGATTAGCCAGGGTAGAAATGGGAAGTGAAGTGCATCAGTCACCAGGCACATGGCGATGTTCAGTCTGTCAGCACTGTGCTACTCAATGCAGTTGCTTAATTTTTATTTCCCCCCACACCCCCACAGATTTTGGTCTGTAGGCTGAAAAACCCTGTTCCATATGGTAGCCAGGTAAAAGGGGTGACACAGAGCTTAGGTTGAAGTTCCAAGTGTAGAAATCCTACCAAATTCTGCTTGCAAACCTTTTTCTCTTGTGGCTTCAGGCAATACAGCCCTGACCTATGCCTGTGCCGGAGGCTACGTGGATGTTGTGAAAGTCCTGCTGGAATCGGGCGCTAGCATCGAGGACCACAATGAGAACGGCCACACTCCGCTGATGGAAGCGGGAAGTGCTGGCCACGTGGAAGTGGCCAGGGTGCTCTTAGAAAATGGAGCAGGCATCAATACCCATTCCAACGAATTCAAGGAGAGCGCGCTTACCCTGGCTTGCTACAAAGGTAGGCTGCCAAATACTCTACTTGTTACAAAGCCCTAATGAGCGTGGAGAAGTGTGATGGGCAGGGCAAGTCATTTCAAACAGGTATTTATTCAGAGATGCTGTGTGGGACAATTTTTATTGCTTTTGTCCTGGCTGGGTTGCCACACAGCACGTAAGCACTGTACGGGAAATGATGGGCAGTGTGGTGAGTGTAAGTATCAAGACATTAGACTTTGTGTCTTTATGATGCTTCAGAAGATTTTTCAGTTCTCTGTTAAATGAGTTAGGAGGTGAGAAAATAACATGCTTCATAAGTATGGGAAACTTTCTGTGATGCATCTTGTAAAATAAAGTTACATCAGCGTAGGTTTAGAAATTGCTAAAAGTTAAAGGATTTGGCACTTGCACACCAAGTTCTAGAGCTCTGCCTTCTCAGTGTGAGTGCTTTCACAAAGCTCATAGGTGCCCTTCCCTTGGCAGGATTCCTGTAGATGGTTGAATTCCTAAGAGGATGCTTGAAATTTTGAGGGTCAATCAACTTCCTGTGTTTTATGGTCTGAGGGTCAGTGTGAGCTCAGGCACTGATTACAATGCCACTAATAAAAACAGCAACACAAAATCCTTTATGTCAATCAAGTAGAGGGGAAACCCAGAACCCACCCTTCCCCACCCCCAGCAAAAGAACAAACATTCTGTAGATGAAAAAAATTCAGATACATTAAGTATTTTTTCCCTGCAGGCCATCTAGAAATGGTGAGATTTCTGCTGGAAGCTGGTGCAGACCAGGAGCACAAGACAGATGAAATGCATACTGCTCTCATGGAGGCTTGCATGGTAAGAGACGGATGGCTTGAGCAGTGAGGTCTGTCCACTCTCTCTGTGCTTCACAACGATGAACAAAATGATGCTTTTTGGTCCAGAACCTAAGTATGTGATGTTTCAGTTTTCCTGTGTACCTGATGGTCCTTTTGCAGAAGAAAATGGGGTGGTCAGGAGGCAATATCTGGTTAAAAAATAGTGCATAAAAAGCAAAATTGCACTTGTGGATGACAAAATAGTTGAATTCTTCAGAGACGACAGCTACAATTTGCATCACAGGAGCATTAGCAGGAGAGCTCTTATTAAGCCATTGTTTGAATAGGTAGGTCTCTTTATGTCCAGCTGCACTTCATTTTTTTTTCTGCAGTGGCCAAAGTCAGTGAGTAAGGCTGCACTCACCGTCCCAAAGCAGCTTCTGTAGGCTGCGTCTCCCCTTGTATGGTTTGTCTCTTACTGTTTGCTTTTTGCCCTTCTGATCATCACGGAGGTTTGAGACGGATATTTTTGTGGCCTCAGTTCCAAGAAATCAATGACTTCAAGAGAGAGCCAAAAGTAAATAGTAGTAAATTGTTTGAACAGAGCCTGGTTTTTTTTCTGCTACATGCAATTTTGCAAGCTCCTGTACGAGCAACTTTCATTTTACGGTTGGAAAATCCTTTATACAGTAATCTCCAAATGAAATAACTTCAAGTGGAAGGTTCTCAGTGTTGAAGTGCTTTTAACAATTCTAACATGTGCTAAATGTAGGCACTCCTTGTGGTCTTAACCTCACAACTGGAGACATTTAGCACACTGATGTCATGTTTAAGCAGTCGGTAAACGAAGTTCTCCATCGGTGTAGGTGGTTACATTTAGGGGTGTGGGGGCTGGTTTCACTGTGGTTCACACAGCCACATGCTCCTTGAAAACACAGGATCAGAAGCTATTCAGGAAGGAATGAGGAAATGGAAGGGGAAATTGTTAACCTCTTACTAACAAGAGTACTTTCATGTTGCTGCTTTGCCCAGCGGAGGCAACTGTAAAATGACAGTGTAGAATCGGTTGCATTTTTGTAGAATTATTAAGATTCTGAAAACAACTCTGATTTTTGGATGGTAGCTTTTTGCCATAGAACACAAAAATATGCAAAGCTTTCCCTTGAATTGGTCACATGGGTACATTTTAATGCTAGAATGGTATAATTTATGCAGACTTAAGATTATTCCAGGCTTCCATGGTGAAGCAAACTTGCTAAATTGATATCTGCAGATAGTTTTCCTCTTTTAATTCCTGTTAGGCTTGTACAGCTATTTGTCTCACACACCTGCATCTTGTGGAAAGCACATATCCTATTTGAAATCTATTTCCCACGTATTACCTGAGGTAATTGGATTCAAATGCTTTGACCTTTTCCTTTGGAGATTTCTTTTGAGGATGGGATACATGTTCCTATCTATTCCCTTAATTTCTCCTGCAGGAACTGTTTAGCCTTCGATACCCTGGCTCAGAGAAGTGATAATGCTGCTGTGAATTTTTTAGCCCTCCACTGTCCCAAGGGTTGGCAGGGCTGTGCTAGCAGGGTGGGACATCCAGCAGGTGTCAGTTTGTGTTTCTGCAACTGAGAATGTTTTGAAACTTTTCCTGCTGGAACTAAAATGGAGCAGAATTAAACTACATGTTTAGACTCCCGTGTTTTCTTTGTGACCCTGGATTGCAGTAGGCATTTGTGCAGCACTTGCCGCAGAGGTTTCCCCTAATTATTTAGGATGCATAGGGAGGTCAGTAGTTTGTTTATAACTTATGCTAACACATTTTAAAAAATCCTTCATCTGAATACGGCACTTAAATGTACAGCTGAAAACTTGTCTCTTAGGTTTCCTCATTATCTGCATTTGATTTCTCATGGGTTGGGTTTCCCACGTTATTGGTCTCGTGTAGCCTCATTCTGTGAACTGGGGACCATAGAGGGGTGCTGCAAGTCCTTTTTCAGTCTTCCCTTCCCTGAAATAACTGTAATGGTTGTAAAATCAGCCAGTAATGTCCATTCAAGGAGCTTAATGGCTTCAGATAGGGGAATCATTAACAGAAGCCATTATACTTCTCAGGAAATCCTTTGAAAGAGGGGCATGTAGATAAACAGGACTTGAGATATTCAAGTCCAATAGACTCTGAAATGTGGAGAGACATTTTTTTATTAAGACTTGCTGAGCAATAGGAAAAAATGTCTCCCTTATTTTGGCAGGAAACAATTCCAAAGCAGGCATCTGCACGCTGTTGCTCTGGATTGACAGGCAGTTGCGAGTCTTGGTACCTTCAGCTCTGCAGGTTGCAGTGTGAAGTGAAGCAGTGCAGGGCCTTCTTATCTCAGCCTGTTTTCTCTGCAGAAACAGTTGTCACTTAAGTGGCAGAAGAAAACCACCCTTGCTAGGGTAGCACGGAACTTGAATGTACGTACCGAATTGGTTAGCACTTAACGTAGGAGCCAGTGAGACTGCTTAAACCTTGTCCTACATGGCATTCAGGAAGACTTCTGACTGAGAGCTTTTTTTATAGACATCAGCTAACATTGGTTTAATGCAAATGAGTTGTTGGGCAATGTGACTTGCCTTGTGGGAGCAAAGAGCAGGTTTGTCTGGTTTGCGCTTCCTCTTTGTGAAGGAACCTGCTCTCCTACAGCGAGGGCTGAGTACTGATTGCTTACAGTGGTTGATCTGTAAAATACACCTCGCGCACTCGTGCAGACTGTCAGATGACTTTTTTTTTTGTGTGGTTTAAGAGCAGTTCTGAGGCTTTTTCTAGCTGTGCTGGAAGAGTTGGACAGCTCCACCCCATCACAAGGTTTCTCAAAGCCAGGAGGAAGTTACCTTGCGTGGTTAAATATCAGCAGTTCTTCTCGAGGCTGCGTGGCCCGTCATAAGAAGCTTTGAAGCATACCTTCATACGGCTGTTTGCCATACTTGTCATGAGTTGGGGATGATGAGTGAGCTGTCTTGACAGAGCTTGATAGTTGAGGCTCTCTGCATTTTCCTAAGGAAAGATTCTTTATGTAGTCCTGGAGTTTTTCCCTAAAATAGTATTGTCATTTCATGTCAAAGGTGAACATGTCCTAGTTAATGTCCTAGATATTTTTCTGTGAGGAAATAATGTTTTGCTCCCTGGATATCAGAAGAAGGTATAAAACACTTAAAGTGAAGTGTAAAAATGTCACATGCAGGTGGATGTTTTGTCTGGACAAGAGCTTTCTGGTATTGTGGTTTCTAGCTTGGCGAGGATGGCAATGGCTGCGATTTGCTGCCTCTTAGTAGTTAATCCAAGCTTAAGATGTACTTAGCTGGTTCAGTAACAACCTTGGGATAACCTCGTGTTCCTGGTAAGCTGCTGGTTTTCTGTGCAACCCACCTGTGTTCTGTGTGTCAGACCTTTTCCCATTAAGGTTACTCCCAAGTTTGAAAGAGAGTAATTTCCTCATGGAGAAAACCAGCTTGGAGACTTTGTGCTGTTATTGGACCACAGCGACCAAGCCGGTCTCTGCTTGGGTTGAAACAAAAGCAAAATTGAATGGCAGTGGGACATGTCACTGTTGAGTTGCCAGTGTAAACACAGAGCTGGAAAGCCACTTCAAATGGTTCCTGAATTTCTGGCATACTAAAAACATGACGATCATATGCTCAAATATTTTCTTTGTTTCTAAAGGAAGAAAGCAAACTTAGGAACTATGGTTGGGTAAAACAAATTTGACAGTGTGATAATGCGATCTGGGAAGTCTCTGTGAGGATCCTGCCAGGGAAAGTCTGTAGTTCAGGTGGTTCCTGTGATGTATGAGGAGCCCCTGACAAAAAGTCTTGTTTAGGGTTTTCTTTTGGAGGGAGAAAGTCAGTCCTGCATTTGCTATTATATTGAGCCGTAAAATAGTTTTGCAGAAGCAAAGAGGCAAGAGACATTGTTATGCACGGCTGCTTTTAAGAAAGGAAGGAAGCAAAATTGCTAAACTTAATTCCTGTCCTCTCTTCTGCCTCCCTCCCCAAAAGCTGGGAACCAGTAATGTGAATACTCGGAGACACTAACAGTCCGCATGGACATGCAGACAGACTATATTCCTGATGCGTTGGTTTTGTACCTAAAATACGCTCTATTTAACAGATAATGCGACTGCATGTTGAACTGGAAACAAAATTCCCTGTCTTTGACTGTGTGGGGAACACTGGCATTGTGTGACTTGTTTGCAGTGCAGAAGTTGTGTGGTTGTCAGGAACATCAGAACCTGTTCTTTATTCCAAGAGAAGATTTTTTTAAAATGGAATTTCTCTTAATACTTCTTCATTTATTAGACTGCTTGTGGTGTTAGTAGCAACTTGTAACTTGTTGTGTGAAGTTGTTGGCAGAACACAAGAAGAGACACAGTTGAGTGGCAACTTATTTCTAGATTTGGTGTTCCTTAGCTAATTTTCCACATTTCTTGTGTCTGAAGTCTTAAACAAAGAAGAGTTCGGGTGTTTTTGGTATTGTTTTTGTGGAGAAAGCAAGTTTCTAAAATAGTGTTGAGTTCCCCCGGCTGTTTGGGTTTTGTTCCGCTTCCCCCCCACACTCCCCACCTCTAAGCAAGCTGATCCCAAGCTCTTGAAGTTGAATCTGATAACAAGCTGATGATCTTGTTCCTTACACCATTGGCAGGAAGGTTTCTTGTGTGGTTCACAGTACTTTAGTTTTTAATTGAGTCTATTCAGTAAAACAATCTTGAAGTTTCTTTAGATGCCTGTTTAATGATACATCTCTCGCCTTTATCCACATACTTGGGAAGAATATTCAGAACTATTAAGCAAGGCTCATTATGTTCTTGGACCGTTCTATGTCGCTTCTGTGTCTTCAGAGGGAGTCTGAGCTGGCGACTACTTAAAGTGTTGGAGGAGAAGAGTGACTTTTCTGTGTTAACTGTCTTTTGATGTTGGTTTTTTGCATTCCTAGGATGGCCATGTGGAAGTGGCAAGATTACTTCTAGACAGTGGGGCTCAGGTGAACATGCCTGCTGACTCTTTTGAGTCGCCATTGACTTTGGCCGCCTGTGGTGGGCACGTCGAACTGGCAGCTTTGTTAATTGAACGTGGAGCTAACTTGGAGGAGGTAAACGATGAAGGATATACACCACTAATGGAAGCTGCTAGAGAAGGGCATGAAGAGATGGTAGCCCTGTTACTTGGTCAAGGTAACTATTGCAGTGCCTTCTGCGGACTGTAATTCAGCAGCCATCTGCATATGTTGGGGGGGGGAGCACAAGGGACTGTAATTTTTGTTTCTTGATTCAACACCTTCTGAACTTGGCCCTATTCCTTGTTGAGTGGCTGGTGGGTTGCGTTTTTCTTTATCAAAATGTCCTTTGTTCTATTTATGTGGTAAACGGTCCTTCTGAATTGCTCTTCAGAAGAGGTTTGGGTTTTTCAGACAGACATCGAATAATGAATGGTTCATGTGGGTCACTTGCACTCCACATGATGGCCTTGGCCTGTCTTGAGATGGTGTTATTGCTGAAAAGCTCTAGAAAAGCACTTTGAGGTCCTCGGTGGGGTTTCCAAAGTAATTAAAGCAAGCTGAAAACTTTTTGTTTGATACACTTACAATTTTAGAAGAAAATTTCTGCAGCTCTAGAAATGAGATAGTAATAAGAAGATGCCTTGTGCATCAGGAAGTGGCTTTGCCTACTGGTCCTGGTTTGAGTTATCAGTATTTTCTGATGTTTGTGTGGTTTTGGTATTTTGTTTTCTTCTAAGGTGCAAACATCAATGCTCAAACAGAGGAGACACAAGAAACTGCATTAACTCTGGCGTGCTGCGGAGGCTTTTTGGAGGTGGCTGACTTTCTTATCAAAGCAGGAGCTGACATAGAACTTGGTTGTTCAACACCTTTGATGGAGGCCGCTCAGGAGGGTCATTTGGAGCTGGTTAAATATTTATTAGCTGCAGGTACGGAGTAGTTTTCTTAACAGTTTTGCAGAGAATGTAACTAAGACAAAAAATACCTCTGTCCATATTCATTGCATTTTCATTAGTGGTTCCCTGAAGCTGACTGCAAAGTTTTGTGGAACCTTAAGTACTTTACTAGTTGGACCCTGATTTAACTTTTGAAGATAAAGTTGATGTAAACTCAGTTAGAACTGAACCTCTAGTTTCTTTGGTTTTGGGTTTCAGGTTTTGGTTTTTTTTTTCATTTATTCCTCTAGATTATGATTAAGTTCTCAGTTCCATAGATGTTGGATTGGAAGCTAAAAATTTGCTGGTTTTGAGAATTGCATGTTCTCTGTAATGAACTTGATAAGCTTACATGCTCGTTGTTGCTGCTGCTGCAGGGGCTAATGTGCATGCAACAACGGCAACGGGTGACACAGCACTGACATATGCCTGTGAAAATGGTCATACTGATGTAGCAGATGTCTTACTTCAAGCAGGCGCAGATCTGGTAAGTCATTACCTTCTCAAAATAAATTCATTAGGAAATAAAGTTATAAGCGTCCTTTTTTTTTTTTTTGGTCTCATGTTCATTACTGAAAACTTAACAAGTTTGCTGTTAATTGTTAGAGTTGCATTCAAATTATCTTTTATCCTTTTTCTAATAACTGAGTGAGAATTTGAGATCGTTTTCTAATGGGTCTTAGGCTATTTAATTAACTGAAAGATCTCAGGTCAGTGATTCTACTTTTTGATGGCTGATGTTTAAAGCATTTCCAAGCCCTTCAAGGTTGCTTGTACAGAAAAATGGGGGATTGTATTCTTTAGTTTTGTGAATACGGTGTCAGTGGTATTCAGCTGTGGATTGCTGAGCTGATTATGGTTTAGTGCTTGTACCTGCAAATTTGTTCTGTTCCTTGTGTAGCAAACAGTAAGTAGTTCTCTTCTGCTGCGATCTATTTTGGGGTACCCTGATAGAATTACAGTGACAGATGTAAGTGGATTTTTAGGTAGGCTGGTACACCAGTATGTTACCAAAAAGTGAAGTTAAGCATGACAGAACACGTTTTGTTTAATTGAAGTCCCCACTGTGTGCTTGAGTGCTACTAGTCCAGGAGTCTTAGATCTGTACAAAGATAGGTAGATAGTTTCATCTGTCTGCAAGTTTTGACTCAGTCCAAATGTTAGGTAAATTTTTACATCAGTAGTTTGTGAAACACTAAAAAGTGATCTTCCCTGTCTGGTGTCTTTCCTTTCAAAACCACAAAAGGCAGAATTGTATCCTTTCACAGGTGTTACTTCTGAATTTTAATCCTTTCTTTGTTTGCTCTAGGAGCATGAATCAGAAGGTGGAAGAACTCCTCTTATGAAAGCTGCAAGGGCAGGTCATGTTTGCACTGTTCAGTTCTTGATTAGCAAAGGTAAGAGTATGAACAGGTTTTGCTTTCCCTGCTGTTAGAAATACTAAAAATTAAGAACATGTCGGTGTGAGTGTAACTTCCTCAGAGTAGTTTCAAATATTTTAACACAGGTAGGTCATCGATTCTCAAACTAGCCACGTAATGATCACCTCTGTTTTTTGCTGAGATCAGTGGTAACTGCAACTACTTATAAAAATAGTTGTCCTTTAGTCTCTAATTCCTAGTAAGAGCAGCAACAGTAGTGGTTGCTGGGTGCCTCCATGCTCCTGGTACTGCTTCTGAGCACTGTCTTTCCAGAAGTCAAGGTGAGGTTGCCTTTCATTTTGTGACACATTACATGCCAAATTGTCCTCTGATTACACTAATAATTGACCAATTTAATTTATCACCATTAAGACTGCAGCCATGGAGAACTAGGTTTTCATATTTAAGAAAAACATTAACTTTCATAGATGAGAACCAGTTGAAGTCTTTTTAAATAATCCTTCCTTCTCTGTTTTTGAAGGAGCAAATGTGAATAGGACCACAGCTAACAACGATCATACAGTATTGTCGCTGGCCTGTGCTGGAGGTCATTTGGCAGTGGTGGAGTTACTGCTAGCTCATGGTGCTGATCCTACACACAGATTGAAGGTTTGTTGCTCAACTACCTCATTTTCCTCTGAGGCAGTCTTTCATCTTAAAACCAGTGATACCCAAGCACCTTTGCTCCTTTTGTGTTCTCTGCAACTGACCTGACATGTCGTGATTTAAACAGGAGCTGTGGGAGCTGCAGGCAGGTTTGATGCTCACAACCATCTTTAGAGAAGTGGAGTTAGGAGGGATTGACTACCATGAGTGTGAAAGTTGCACTGCAGCTTTATGGCTATAACTGTGGAAGAGGAAGGAGAACTTTAAAAAGTACTTGCTTGTTTTAAGTAGTCCTTAAGTTTAGGTGTGGACGTACTGCAGGTTGAAAGAGTATTTATTCAGTGTTTCTTAACTGTTTCTGTGTCATGTGTCCCCAAATGCTTGTGTTGTCATGTGTTGATGGTGCTGTATTCAGATCCCGCGATCTTTCTCCCTTTAGGATGGATCAACTATGTTAATAGAGGCAGCAAAAGGTGGTCATACCAGCGTGGTTTGTTACCTTCTAGATTACCCAAACAACTTGCTTTCTGCTCCTCCACCTGATGCTACTCAGCTGACCCCACCATCCCATGATTTAAATAGGGTAAGATTTAAGGGCTGGTTATCTGTGGATTTTGGGGGCTTTTTTGCATTTCCTCTTGCAGCTTACTCGAGTTTAAAGATGAGAAGAGCTAGTCATGTCATTTCCTGAGCTACTGAGCTATAGGTGAACGCTCTGAAAATGACTTGAAACTGTTGTAAAAATGGTGAAGACTCTTCAGGCATCACTGTGTAGTGTTTCCATCATTCTTCTTATTGCTCAATAAAAATCATTGGCAAAAATGAGGGGGGGAAAAAAAAACAGACAAATAACAAACACCTCAGTAAGTGAGAAAGTCTGCTTGAATGAGGCTCTTCAGGATAATATTTGTAGCCAATGTGGCTTGTGTTTGCTTAACTGTAGTCTAGCACTGTACCGTGCTGAGACAGGTATCATTTGACAAGTCATTAGGTTAAAAATGCCAAGCATATAGAAGTCAGATGATCTCAAATTGTTGATTGTTGAACTCAGCATATTAAGAAGCATATTAAATGTCTTTAGTTGCCATTAAAGTCTGCTTTTCTAACAGGTTTTGTTTACCTTCTATTGAATTATAACTAGATCATAGTATGAGAGAAGTAATCTGTTAGTATCCAACGTTTTAGGCTCCTCGTGTACCAGTGCAGGCGCTGCCCATGGTCGTCCCACCCCAGGAGCCTGACAAACCCCCTGCTAATGTCGCCACAACCCTTCCCATCAGAAATAAAGGTCAGTCTTAGTTCTGGAGCTTACTTTCTAAATATCCTTCCTAGGTAGAAGATAGAGGGTTGCAGAGTAGTTCCTCAGAAGAGTGCTTATGGATTCAGTCAAGGAAACGGCAATTTTCTTTTTTTTTTTTTTTTTAAGGATTGCTTGTCCGACAAATACGAAGTACCAGTCATCTAACCCTGTAATCATAAAGCGTCAAGAAATCTGCCTCACTAAATCTATTAAAATAGTTATTAGTCTGACATACTGGACTAATGCAAAATGTCACCCAGAAGCCTATATAAATTTGATTATGCAAGTTGCAAAAAACAATCTCCATATGTTAGTTGATTTGCTAATTTGTGTTTACTTAGGATAGTAGTCTTGGAGTGGGTTTGACCAATTTGATGGAAGGCGGAATTTCTTGTGCTAAAAAATACTTAGTCTGATGTGGCTCAGGTCCTCCTGGGACTAAATTTGCATCCATTTTGATATCGCCATTTTGAGACTTAATGCTTTCTCTACTTAAGAATTCTCTTCCAAAAGAATTTTTATCGAGGATCAGCAATAGTGCAAATACAGGCGTGCATGTCATAAAATTTAATACTGTGTGTACACTTGTATTGTTCTGGAAACACAGCGAGGATGACTGGAAGAAACTGGGCACCTCCACTGTCTCAGATCCTGGGTTTTGATTTGCCTTTCGCCCTTCAAAATTAACCGATTGTTCTTTCTCCAACCGGTATGGCAGACCATGTCAGCTGTGTTACTGTGGACTTCTTCATCAAAGATGAATTGGATTAGTCCATCGCTCATTCTTACAGGAAGGCTGAAATATTTGCCTTGCCTGGGCAGAGAGCCGAGTGTTGACACAGGCCAAGTCATGTCTGCTATGGATAAAATGTAGTGGCTAAACCCACCCTGTTAGAGCACGTTAAATACGAATGACTGTCCCAGGTTCTAGCACTGTTTGTCAGCTGAGCAAAGCTGGATACCTGTAGTGAAAGGATTCAGTAGTCCTAGAAAGCGTAGCGCTTCCTAAAATGTGCCAAGTTACTCACAAACCCGGGGGCCTAGAACGAGTTGCCCGTCACCTCGAGACATTTTGGCATCGCTTTTGCTGTGCTTTCAGGGCTGTAACTATACGTTTATGTCTTAACACGACACCAGGTGCAAAAGGCCAAGTAAAGAGACAGCGTACCCTTTCTTTTTTTTTTCCATTTGTCTTATAGCACCACTTGGTAGCAGCGGCACTTGAGACAATGGCTTCATTTGGCAAAAGTATAGCAGTGGTTGGAGTAAATAAGTCAACGCAGCACAGGGTTATTCGGCGCGTAGGCGCAGTGATCTGCACTGTTAATTTGCAGTCCGACTGCTGTACTCAAATTGATAGTGAAGGATACGGTTTTCTTGGAGGGCCTTAGGGTAGACGCTGACCTTCTGTGGGTGCTGTGTCTTGGTGCATAACCGGCCAGTTAGCATCCCAGCAGTAGCTCTATAATGAGGATGCCGTTCGTATGCACTTCCATTGGTTCTGAGGGGGTTTCTTTTTCACACAGCTGCTTCTAAACAAAAGTCCAGCAGTCATTTGCCAGCAAACAACCAGGATGTACAGGGTTACATCACCAATCAGTCTCCAGAGAGCATTGTAGAAGAGGCTCAGGGCAAGTTGACAGAGCTGGAGCAGAGGATAAAAGAAGCCATAGAGAAGAACGCGCAGCTGCAGTCCCTGGAACTGGCACACGCTGACCAGCTCACCAAAGAGAAGATTGAGGAGCTGAACAAAACGAGAGAGGAACAAATCCAGAAGAAACAAAAGATTTTGGAGGAACTGCAGAAAGTGGAACGAGAGTTACAGCTGAAAACTCAGCAGCAGCTAAAAAAGCAATATCTAGAGGTAAAAGCGCAAAGAATACAGCTCCAGCAGCAGCAACAGTCTTGCCAGCATCTGGGACTACTGACTCCTGTTGGGGTAGGAGAACAACTCTCAGAGGGAGACTATGCACGATTACAGCAAGTGGACCCCATCTTGCTTAAAGATGATACTCAGCAAGCTGCTGCACAGACGGGTTTTGCACCAATTCAGCCTCTGGCGATGCCACAAGCTTTGCCTCTGGCAGCAGGTTCCTTACCTCCAGGGTCCATCGCAAATCTTACAGAACTGCAAGGTGTTATAGTTGGACAGCCAGTATTGGGCCAAGCACAACTAGCAGGGCTGGGGCAAGGAATACTGACAGAAACACAGCAAGGGTTAATGGTAGCCAGCCCTGCTCAGACGCTCAATGACACGCTGGATGACATCATGGCAGGTGGGTTTAAATTGTTACGAGCAGGTATAATATTTGCTTGACCAGTCGAGGGTATGTCCACTTCTCTGTGTGTGTGTGTGTG